CTATGCCAGTTCTGAAGTCGGAACTATGCGGTGTCGTGTACTAACGCCGTGATATTGGCGCGTGACTCCCAGGCATAGTTCGGGGATAACAGGTTAGGAGCTGATGAAAATCTAGGGCAGCTTGTTGGGTGATGGTTTAAACTTTCGCGTTCCATTTCAATTAAAATAGTAAGACACGGATCTTAACGCGACGTTTATTACTGAGTTACATTATGTACTCACGGCTTGACGTTTCGGCTGCGATGTAATGATGATAATGTTACTAAACGTCGCCTTAAGACCCGTGTCTTACTATTTTAATTAAGTATACTATGTTAATTAACCTAGAAGATAGCTTTAAAATGCTATTTTTTGCAATGTTTTATCGGTCTGCTTATTCACATTAAAATTAAGGCTCGATAGAACTTGGTTTTTGCTGGTAAATAGTAAGTACGTGATGTTTACTTTTACATTCATTATGTACAAATTATGAGCACGGCAAAAATTAGGCAAGTTTAAACTAGTAATTACAAGTGGAAGTTTCTTAGCGGAACACACCAAGTTGGAGCAGCTCGGAACTTGTTCCGGACATGTCCCGGCGTGTTCCGAACCTCTGCGGAAGAAGTGTTGGTTCGAGTTCTGCTTGTGAATTTATTAGATTCCGAATAGTTTGCGGTCATAATGCAGAACGTTATGGGAAACTTACAATGATGTCAGTATTAACTAGTTGGTAACTTCGTTACTAAGTAGTAGAAGTATTTTTTCACTTGTTCATAGGAAATTTCTATAGTGTAAATTGTCTCTGACTTTGAAGTACAGCAATTACCTACGCTTGAATCTTCATAATTTATAGAAATTCTCAAACCAGGTCATGTCATAATAACATTTTGACGCGTCAAAAGAATTTAAACGACCTCATAATGTTTTCTAAGCCAAATAAGACGGCGTTAATCACAAATCATCGGAGCTTTCCCCAAATTGCCGCCGATCGGTCGGATTAACTGCTCGCTAAGTCCCGATCGCGCGAGAATTACAGCGAGACATTAGCGTTACTGCGCGAGCGGCGCAAATCGCGCCGAATCACCGGCCCACGGGGCCATAGCGACAGCGGGTTGTGTAATGTCTTCTAAAGCCTGGTCCGTGAGCACGTAGAATCCCGTCCAATGAGCCCAAGCTGCCCATCCTTGTCGCTCGCACGTAATTATGTTGCTGTCGCGCTCGCACACTCACTGCGTGCACATAATTACGCGCGAGCGATAAGGATGGGTAGCTTGGGGTCATTGGACGGGATTCTACGTGCTCACGGACCAGGCTTTAGACATTTCTTGTGGTTCTTTAGTGCTATTCGTTCGTTTCAACCAAATGACGTCCACTGCGGGACAATAAGGCCTCCCACAAAGATATCTGTATTCATCGTAAATAACTCAATAAAATAGTGTAAACCTTGAAATGGTCTCATAAATTATTTAGCTTTGACTTAAGAGTCAAACGTCCATTTCAAAGTCTAACCTTATAAAAGTTGCTGAATCTAATTCAACTTAAATAAGCCTAGAGGCTGGGTTTTCTTTAAGCACATGTGAGGAAGTTTCCTCACATGTGCTTAAAGAGAATCCAGCCTCTAGTTAAATAGTCCACCAGCCCTTTGCTCTATCCAACACTTACTATGCAAATAGCAGTAAACATTCTTGCAATCTTACCGTGTAGTTATCATCAGCTGAGATTTTGGGAAAATAAATCACAAACGTTTTTGAGGCACTAATGTAATTGTACTTTCAAATTGTATGTTCCTCTAAGGAGCCTATAACATTATTTTTTGTCCTCAAAACCTAAGCAAGTCTCTAAATACATGCACTTGCAGTATTCCCCGCTACTTGTATAGCCCGCGTTTATTGCAGCGCTGCAAGCGGCAACGATTTGTCGCCACAATCAGCGGCCATTGCTCGCTCCGTGAGGACACCATACGATCGGCCAGTCTCGGGAGTTCTGCAATTCTGAGGCGCTACTCCGTGAATCTACGTAGACAGCAGATGAGTCAACTTTATCTGCTCTTGTTACACTCATGACAACATAGAGCGAGTGACAGTTAGACTACGAGTTATCGGCTATAGATTGATTTTGCTTTGTTCAGATGTTTATCACATTCATGTCAGGCTTTTAACTGCCTAGTTCGCATCAATATTTATTTATACCTATCTACATTTTAAAGATAGTAAAACTTTGAAAAAGAGGCTGACAATAGTGACTGAATTTCTTGCGCTGCTTCTTCTCAGCACATGCACATTTATTGTCCCCAAGCAGTGGTAGGTAGAGTAAAACTGTTTTTAAAAGCCTGTTTTTAAAAACTTGCAAAATTAAAATGAGTTTTATGACTTTCTTGAAAGTTATTTAAGCAGACACTGCTTTGTGACACGTCCATACTTTTTGGTCTTTCAACCAAAAATCAACAAAGTTTAGATATTACTAGCTTTCCGCCCGCGGCTTCGCCCGCGTGGAATTTTGTCTGTCACAGATAAACAATATCGCGCGCGTATTTACTCATCGTTTAGACCTGGACTACGACAAACATTTTAAAACCAAAATCAGCTCAATCGGCCCAGTCGTTCTCGAGTTATAATCAGACTAACGAACATCAATTCATTTTTATTTATATAGATAGATATTATATAGATAGTTAGCGGCCGCCCGCGACTTCGTACGCGTGGATCCCGTTTTACCCCCTTCATCTTTCTTTAGCGGTTAACTTCCGTTCCCGTAGGAATTTTGCAATATCCTGTTGTAACTAAGCTTTAAGTTTACTAAGGTACCTGCATGCCAAATTTCAAGCGTCTATCTTACGCAGTTTAGATTTTTTCATACATATGTTTTTTCCCGCTAACTCCCGTTCCCGTGGGAATTTTACGATATCCTGTTGTACCTTAGCTTTAAGTTTACTAAGGTACCTGCACACCAAATTTCAAGCATCAAACTTAAGCGGTTTAGATTTTTCATACAAAAGGATTTTTCCGCTAATTCCCGTTCCCGTAGGAATTTCGGGAATTCCTTTCTTAGTGCACCTGAACGGTACCTAAACTACGTCCCTTCCAAATTTCAAGTGCCTACGTTTAGCCGTTTAGGCTGTGCGTTGATCTGTCAGTCAGTCAGTCAGTTTCTCCTTTTATATATTCAGATTATAATGTTTATTAATATGTCCCAAAGTTTCCGATCCTATATGCTACGTCAGTCCGTGCTCAACGCAGCGTCTAAACGATTTGTAATATTATTAAGATTCGGTCTGCCTTCAAAGGTACAGTCACCCTTGCAAGGCATCTCTAGTTTTGATCGTATTTCGGCGTAACAAGGTTCATATTTCCAAACCTAAGGACATTAAGTTGTACTGGTATGCATGCCTTGCTGCGGATGCACGTCTCGACTTGAACATTTTCTACCATTTGCATTTAGAATTGCTATGAAAAGATATTGATAACTTATTCACTTGATAGTATGCAATTAACATTTTGAACGTTGAGCTTTAACAGTAAGCTCGTATTTCCATTTAACTTCTATCGAAAATGAAACTTCGAGATTCTATTTGATTAAAATATAAAATACAGAATAATGTAAACAGTAGGGCAAAACGCTTTCTCAAGTGCTCTCAGGGATCGCTATTGAATTAATTCGTTCATTGACTACCTAAGTCAAGAAAAAAGAGCCTGAATTAACTCCATTACCCTATTTTTACTTCGAGTTATCCCCCAAAGATGGCATTTCATCACACCCAACTAACATCAACCAACCAAACTTGCAAACTGAATTAAGCCAACGGACGGGTTAGGGAAATGAACTCAAAACACCACCACCTTATCCTGACCTCTACCTCTGTTCTCAGACCCCTTTTTAGCTCTAAGATATTGAGGTCGAGAGAGGGGCGGTGGGTCCAAGTGTCTGGTGAGCCCAGCAAGCAGCACCGCGAAATTTGCTCATTTAGGCCTAATGCCCACCCATCAGGGCTTTTTGATGTGCTAAGAAGGTAAATCAGGTGCTTTTGATCTGAGATTGTGTGCTAACGACTCGTCCTACAGTGATCAGACGCAGCGCTTGTTTTGTTAACGGGTAATTTGTCAAATGTTAATTGTTTTGTAAGGGTGAATAAATTTCGTGGTTATTTTGCCGCTCTATTTCTGTATTTAAATTTGTTTTAGGTACCGTTAAACTTAGAGGTCACGTTTGTTGGTCTGTGAAAACTGGATAACAGCGACTAGTCGCTTGAAACATAAGCAAGGGTTTATAATGGTATCCTTCCGTTTGGCCAAATTACTTTTCGCCAAATTTCACTTCGCAAACTCAACTTATCGCCAAAGTTTCATTTCCCAAATGAACTTTTAGCAACTGTACTTTTCGCAACTAATTCATTTGGTCAAATTATCATTTGGCTAAATTTTATTTGGCAAATGTTTATATAGCAAATGTTTTATGTTGCCAAATATTATATCCCAAATAATTTGTTTGGTCAAATTGACACTTCACGTACTTACCCACCGTTACCCACAAATCAAAGAATAAGGAACATGATCATGGATTACACAAGAATTTTATGTGAAACATTGCAGGAAATAGTATGGTTGCAAAAAGTAGGTATTACCGAAAAAAGTAGGTTAGGTTTGGTTAGAACAGTGACCCTTACTGAATCACCTTTATTGTTAATTAATCGTTTGGAAATTTCGATAAAAAGAATGAAATAAGGAAATTAATGTAGAACAAATTTTATATTAACTACCAACTAAACAAAATAATAACCACAAGCTAATTTTTTGTATCCATTCTATGCACCAATCAAATTATTTTGTAAATAGTTTATCGTGAAATATTTTTGCCTAATGAAACATTTGGCAAACCATACTTTGCCAANCCGTTATCTTAGATCTAAATTCTGATTTAATTACTATTACCTACCTAAATAAATAAACTTAAATAATAATATATCTAAATCTACGTTAACTACCTAACTAAATAACTTAATTAAATAATTCATATTGTTCTACACTAATAAAATAAATAAAATAATAAACCTACAAGCAAACCCGCGCGAAACAAGTTGTTCAATATTTCTTTTGTTCTCTGTCGAGCGGGCGGACTGTTTTTTATGCATGCGCAAGCGACGCGCCTACGGCCGCGATGCTCCCGCCGCGTCTCCTAGTCCGAGCCAGAGCGTTAGTGAGCACGGACGTATCGCTGTCCGTCACCGCCGGACCCGCGATGTACGTAACTTTATAAAAACTAAATATGTAATCGCGTATTGGTGAACCCCGCTACCGGGTGAGTGTTGCAAAAGTATTTTTAATGCCTAGTTTTTATACTTGTGCTAAATGTAAGTGCCTAGCCGCCATTTTGTTCTTGAAATGTGCTATCCATGTGCTCGGTGTCATTTCATACAAATTTCCTATTTCTATATCTTCTTAATATTATTATTTTACAACTTACTACATTATTAAATAAGTAAACTAAATATTTATGAAATGACATCGACACGTCATGACCTTACATGACCTTGATCGTACTGTAACGACACTCTTTCTAAAATCTATTTAATTTACTAAATTGAACTATTCTAATTTTATTCTACTGTTCTAATAATTCTAAATTACTACCTACCTATATTGTTTTGCAAATTAATTGCCTATATAGATGATATTCTAAATAATTATCTACCTACATAATTTAATATTTTTGCCTACTTCACTGCAATTACTTTATCTGCACCTACTGTAATTCTGTTTGACTGCCACATCATTACATCACCATTTATTACTTAAATCATTCCATCTGCTTCGCTAGTATTTTGATGTCGCAGTCAAACGGTTAAGCTGGCAACTGCTTAAATATGCCGTTTGATCCGCAGGGTTCATCTTCACCTTCATCTTCTACGCCTAGCTACTACACCATGCATGGTCACCACTGCCGAAACTACCACCTGGGTCTTCAACCCGGCAGAGCTGCCTGCCGTGTCGGACGGCCCGTGCGCACATTCTAAGTGGCCCTACACCACAGTGCGTACGGCCCTAACCGTCTGGCGCGTCGACGACTCTGCGGGCCTACCAACTCGAGGAACCAAACCACATAACCATCAATGCTAGCGAGGACAGTGGTTTGAATATACTACCACCGGTGACGAATCTCGTGCGATACGATAGTTTGCTCGACAACCCACACCCTTAAGGTCTCTTGCTACTCTTTATTCTAAATAAACTAACTTGTTAACTTAAATCTATCTTTTATTTCTCTAAACTTAACTTCTAATCTAAATTCTATTATGTCACTGCCTCTAAAGCTCTAACCGTGACAGTATGCCAGTTTTATTTAATAATAAAATCTTAAAATAAACTTGTAAATTGCATTCTCATTTAAAATTATTTATGGAAAACACTGGTTTTAGGCTTTACTTGCTATAATATTATCAAGCAATAAGTAAAAACCATAACTATGGTTGTACTAAATGTATGGAAGCTGGAAACATTGAATTTTCGGATATATCTAGTTTATTCTGTAACCTATTATTGATACCGTTTGATAGAGATCGTAAAGCACTTTCAGAATCGGTAATCAGTTTTTCGATATCTTGTTTAGTTTAAAAATATTCGAGTGAGAACACTTATCATTTCCACCCTGTAGTATTTCAAACTGCTATTTTTCCTAGCAATATAATTTGCTATAAACTTCGTCCGCGTAGAAGTCGAAAACGTTCTCATAGGTTTTTTAAATGGTTTTTAGCGTTATCACCTAGTTTGAATACCTATAAAATGATGAAGATCGAAAATTACTTTAAATACAGCGCAAGCAGGCATCATAGCGATTAGTATCATATCATAGTACTATCATCTTCAAATCAGTAGCCCAACATCCTGGAGGGTACTATGGGTATGTTTGTACTATGGGTACTAGGCAACGGATATACTATACTTTATTTTGTAAATACATACCGCACCCTTAATAATGAATGGGCACAACTCCAAAATTCAGTTTTTTGGGAAAAGCCAAAAAACCAATCGGCGGATCGCGGTTTTTTACATATTTGGCTCNAAATAAATTTAAAAAAAAATCTCAAAAAAATTTTGACTTCTTTTTTGTCGATAAAAATAGGTCTAGTTTCACCTTAATTCATATGTGCACTTTATCGTGACTCACACTGTATAAAGTCAGATTTTGCCACTTGTCTAGGGGGTAGATCAATTCGGGCGATTTCGCTTGCCATCGTGAGTGTGTGATTGAATAGCAAAAATTAAATTAGTTTATTTGCTGCGTAATCTGACTGAACTGCATCATGTCATCAGATCATCAGTGAAAAAAAGATCGCCTATTTTATTTGGCAATATTTCGACATTAACAGATATTTACTTTTTATGTATTCGTCATTAGAGTGAATAGCCCAGAAAAATATTTTAGTTTTTTGAAAGGCTTTAAAATGGCTTTTTTTAACATTTTGGAATTTAAATAAAAGCCGTCATTATTATAAGCCATGTAATTGAAATTTACCTCAAAGATTAATGCATTTCATTTTATTAATAGGAAATTTTCGTAGTTTTTTAATATCCGGTATCCGGCCGGATAGTGAGTTACTATCCGGTATCCGACCGGATAGTAAATTTAGGCCGGATATCCGGCCTACCGGATAGTTACCGGATATCCGTTTCATCTCTAGTTTATATATTCTACTAGTACAGAATAAAAGCTCTACTAAAGTGAGCCCTCGGGCCACACGTTTCAGAAAATAGTTATCATATTTAGAGACAAGGTGGAAGGTGTATTAATTTACACATAATAATATAAAAACGTAGTCATTTCGTAGTACAAACTTAAGTATCTGTGTGGTGTGTAAATATTTCTTTTCTTGAAATTAAACGGACTCATTTATGTGTGAACAAAATATTCGTATTAGGGTAACCACACATCAGAAAATTAATAGATAACTAGAAAAAGTGTCCCTACACAACCTATACCTACCACGATTAAAAAAATTCAAGATAAAGTAGTACTGTTAAACATTTCTATAGATAGAGCATAATAAAAAAAGTATACTGATAACAAAATCACCATGTATACAGGGCGATTTTTACTCAATCGTCGAATTCAACTCGGCTGGGCAGCGTCCGCCGGGAAGCTTCGCGATATTCTCACGTCCGAAATACCGCAGTGTCTTAAGAACTGTGCTGTGCGCTGAACTTATTATTATGAATTAAATACTTTTTATTTTATTTTATTTATTTAAGACTGACCAGTGTGTGTTGCTAGTGATGGTAAACGGATCTGAGACGTGGTCGCTTACTATGGGCCTCATGAAGGCTCAAGGTCACCCAAAGGGCCATGGAGCGAGCTATGCTCGGAGTTTCCCTACGTGATCGAATCAGAAATTAGGAGTTTCGTAGGAGAACCAAAGTGACTGACATAGCCCGCAGCATCGCTAAAATCAAGTGGCAGCTTGGGCTAGGCACATAGCTCGTTCTTGAGTGGCGACGACGAGCCGGAAGACGTGGTGTGGACCGACGATTTGGTGAAGGTCGCGGGAGGTACCTGGATGCGAGCGGCACAGGACCGGCCATTGTGGAAATCTTTGGGGGAGGCCTTTGACCAGCAGTGGATCTCTTTTGGCTGAAACGAACGAATGATTCACTGCTATTGATTAATGAATCGCGGCATTAATCGATTTTGTTGTATCACAGCTCTAAATCTATTCCGTATCACACAATGCGTAGGTACTTTAAATAAAATTATTTTTACGTCGTACCTACCTATTTAATTAAAATAAAATCAATAGACTCGTTTTTTTCTTAAAACACCTCTTAGGCAATAGTACAGAATACCTACTTATACTTTAGTTTTGAGTTTCCTAAAAAAATCGACAATGTGGTTAACATACACAAAATTATTACGGAGAATTTAAGAAGCAAGATATTTCTTAAAATACTTTATACAGCAAAAATATTTGAATACAATTTTAAACTGCAAATTTTGTACATAAAATGGTGTAAACTATTTTTATCAAACAATGAGTTGGGCNTTAGTAATCCGTTTATAATACTACTACTAGGTACAATGGGCAAGTTTTACACAAAAACATTGTGTTAAAGCCAAAGCTTGTATTAATGTAGTCAACACCCAGACAATATTTGTAGAGGTACTTTTTATGGAGCTGGCAGAACGCGATTCGCGATGAAATGAGTTGAAAGCAACAAAAATCTCATTTAACGTATAAGAGATAAAGTAATTTTCGCATTAGCTGTTCTTTAGTGGCTGATTATAAATCGGCCAGTAGTTTCACACGGTCCAGTGACAAGCCAATTGTCACTAAGCACCAAGATGGCCATAGACGGTGTCCAAACACTGCAGCGGACGCGGTCCTCCGAGCATTCAAATGTGAGGGCCGGTGAGGGCCCTCGGCGGAGTGCAGCCTCGTGTACACTTATGTTGATGTGAGGGCGAGCTGTTTGTGCTTCAGTGGTACTGTGATCCAGTCTTGCACGAATTAACCAACAGGACTGAGCGGTACTGAGAAAATATAGCATCATTGCGACTTGAGTTTGCACCGCCTCGTGGATAATGCAAAATGACGAAAAGCCATGGTTTGAAGTTTACAGTAGTTACTACCAAAAATCATATCCCCCAACGTTTTACAATAGCTTACTCAACAAACGTTCTCGGAAATTGAAGTATTAATAGTTTCAGAGCACTTACAAAACTACCGCCACACAACACCGGCCATTGTGGAGTTGGCGCGTGCGCTACTTTGAAAGAAAAAGAAAGAAAGAAAAAATGTTTATTTGGCACCAAATTACATGCACTTATTAAAATACTTTGGCTATCAGATAATAGATTCCGAGAACAAGAAACCCACGTGTAGTGTCGGAACTTCACACACCGCTCTGATAGTGGAATAATGGATTGTTCGCCGCGAGTTAATAACTTTAATGAGTTTCATGCCGATTGAAAGTTCGGACACGTGGTGGATTACACCAAGAGAGTGGATTCTGCTATTCCGCTAGTTTCACGGCCGTATAAGTTTCTATTATTTCGCAAAGTTACATAAAACCCGTAACCGATATAACATGCGAGGCTTCAGAACATCAATTGTAGTATTTTATTTTTATGATGAATTTGGATAAACTTTTCTGCCTACATTATGAAATTTAATTAATCATCATCAAATACTGCAGTTATTGTTTACGCTGCAGGAACACGACCCCTCCAATTTACCAGAAGAAATAGGAAGGAAAGAAAATTCGATCTATACTCCTCCCGCAGGCCACCTCTGGTGAGTAAGATACCCCACGGGCTACAGATTTTAGTCGGCCGATAGTTTGGTCGGATCAGTATACACATGTATGAAAGTGTGCACATTACACCGTTTTGGTATCAGCTGATTACTCATACAAATTCGAAATGGACCCAACTATCAGCCGACAAAAAGTCTAATTAATAGTATCAGGCGTTACTTTGCGGAAACCCATCAATTAGAGATTAAAATAGATAAAATTACTTAGTTTAAGATTTCCGCTTAGTGACGCCGGCATAAGTACCCAACCACCACACTACCCGCGCCCACCGTTACAGTACAAGCAAATGCAAGATACAATAATTATAGTTAGTTAGTACCAACACCAATTGTCAGTCGCATGACTAACTATCCTATCTCAGTCTTTTGGCGATTTGATAATTCAAGTCCTAACGGACTACAAATTTTTTCCTGCTTCCATTGTCTACGATTTTCTCTAACTCACGTATCTGTATGAGTATGTACCTATTTTTCCTCCCACGAGGTCCGTAAAGTATAAACAGAAACTAAATTTGAAATGACCTAACTGAAAACCCGTGGTTTTGAGAAAGTGGCAAAACTGAGATAGTATTAGGATAGTTAGTCATGCGAGGGACGCAATGTGCAAAAGGTATCTAGACTGCGGGGTGTCTTAGGTCTAAAGTAGGTCGTTCTCCTGTAGGAGAGACTTAATGCATTTATGATTATGATAATTGATAAGAATAGCAGTTGTAAGGCTGACTTATAAACTTTTAGTGAACTAAATATCTGCATATTTGTTTGAGCACTTATA